GGAAAAAGAAGAGAGAAGAGAAATCGGTCTGTAATTAAGAACATCACCACTATTTCCAGATTTCAGTACCGGAACAACCACTGCCAGTTTCCAGTCGTCAGGAAATATCCCTGACGTCAAGGAGTTATTGAAAATTGTGCACAGTATAGGCGTAAGTAATTCATGATAAGCCTTAACAATTGCAGCGGGTATCCCGTCATGACCTGCAGACAATGTGGGTTTCATTTTCTTAATACATAGCCTAACACATTCCTCATCGACAACCACAGAACCTAATGAGTCGCCAAAAACGTTCGAGTGAGGCAAAATAGATGAGGAGCAGTTATTATTATTAATGTAAACTGACGCAAAGTGATCAGCAAACAACTCAGACATGCCCTTCGCACTGTCGCTATGCTGATTCAAGACGATTTCGGACTCAATATTCTTCCCCAAGCGCGATTTAGCGTACCTCCAAAATTTCTTGGGATTTTTAACAAGATCTGATTCCACCGAGTCAGAATGCGCCTGGCGATCACGGTTTAAAATTTTCTTACATCGCTTTCTGCAAATTTTAAATTCAACTTCCCACTTTGGAAGACCACTTTTCTTAAACCTCCTGTGCAAAAAATCTTTCCGTTTTAAAAGCGTTCTGAGTTCACGAGAGAACCATATAGGGAAGCGAGATTTTTTAGACGTTTTAAGAGGGATATACATGTCCATAGCCTCCTGAACAACAGTTGTGAGGAGATATACTTGGCCGTTGATATCAGACGACTCCAGGATAGAAGCCCAGTCAACACCCGAAAGATGGTGATACATTCCAGTGTAGTCCCCCGCTGAATACTTATATGATGTGTGTGGGGAAGGACCATTAGAGGGACTGAGGACCGGAGGATCAAAAATAGAAAGAACTACATCAAGAGCAGGGTGATAGCTATCCTCAGGAACCATAGAAAGTTCACTTCGAGCCACATGTATACCGTCCGTGTTTGAAAAGCATAAATCTAAAGCATTACCTTGGTCGTTTAGAATGTTATTGTGCTGTCTAAGATCTAAAAAGGAAGTAAAGTTGAGGAGATAGTTGCACTTTTGTTTACAATAAAAGTTGCCAGTAAGGACATTGAATTGTGTCCAGTTAATCCCTGGAGCGTTAAAATCCCCCAAGATTAAGATATTGCTCCCCTGTGAATCATTAATAGTATTTTCAATGTCAGCAAGACATCTTTGGAAATCATCTGGTGTCGTCTGAGGAGGAAGGTAAAACAGACCTATTAAAATACGTTCTCTGCTAGAACACTCAATTTCAACCCACAGAGACTCAGGAAATCTCTCCAGATCCTCACGTCTTCGTGAACTATATTGTTTGTTAACCGCGACCAATACACCGCCTCCTACTCGGCCCCGGGAAGAGAAATCACGATCATGACGGTAGACATCAAAACAAGGCGGAAAGTAGTCGGAGGAACTAACACTAGGACATAACCAAGTTTCCGTTAAGCAAACAATTGAGTAATTAGATAGAGTAATGTTGGCAAAGAAACATTCAGCTTTCGTCCGCAGGCCACGGACATTCTGGTAAAACAAATCGACGTTACTCATCTTTGTATTTAGTGTTGGGCTTGTGGGCTTCTTCAGACGAGTGAAGGAGTTCTTGACGAAGAGCGCCTCTGAAAGGTTTAAAAAGACAATCCTTCGGCCACAAAGCAGGGTCAGAGAGTTTCTCAAAGTCTTCGGCTGCTACAGAGACGTGAAAAGAGGCGTAAGTGTTGTAGCGAGTCTTCAGTCGGTGGCACTTCAAGTTTTCCACATCGAGGGAACACAGATGCCCAACGACGTCAGTGGAGGTGGTGACCGGATCCAGCTTGGTCACAAACAATGCCCTCCGGCGGGAAGATGAGGGGGCAACGCTCAGCTTGCACGCCACGGACGCTCCGGCTTGCGCGGGGATTCGAGACTTCGGGCTGATCGGATTGGGCTTGACAGGAAGTGGATCATCTACCGACGCCTCGCTCACCAGCGCAGAGGCCGGTGCCTGCGGGCTCATCGGGTTCGGCTTACCAGGCAGCGCATCATCTTTCGTCGTCCCGTCTGCTGGTGCACCTGCAGGCTTTGCAGAGAGAGCCGAGGCAGGAGGGAAGCGCAGGGCTGCAGCAAATGTTTTTCCTCCACAGGGCCCTGCCTGAACTTCAACATCAGTTCTTGCACGCTTACCAAGCACATCGCGTAAGCTGCGAACTTCCGCCCGGAGACAGGCGATGGAGCCTGCCTGGAGCTCCGCCTGCTGTCTCTGCTCACGACGGAGACGCGCGTTGTCTTCACTGAGGGAAGCAACCTCCTCGGTGAGGAAAGAAATTCCTTCCAGCGCGTCGAGGAGAAGGGACCGAAGGGACTGAAGGCTGGCGTCCCCACGTGCGTCGAGGCCATCGGGAGAGGAGGCAGGCAGCGTCGCCGGACGAGTAGGGGAGGCCGATGGCGGAGGAGGAGAGCGGGCGAACTGGTCGTCGGGGTCACCGGAGACCGCGCCGCTGACGTTAGGCCTAGCTCCACCGTTGATCTTGGCACAGCTTTGGCAGACAAATGAGCTCACCTCACGCTGAAGAAATGTGCGTTCGGTCTCCGGAAAGCATACGCACTTCGTATGCGCGCGAAGTTGGCACTCAGTGCAGCGAAGAAATCTTTGTCGTCCGTAAAAACAGCGAGAGCAAATCAGACATGCATCCTTGCTGGGCGGCATCTCCGCAGCGAATAATAATAATAATAATAATAATAATATTAATAATGATATTAGTTTTATTAGCACAAAATCATTTACATGCATTAATTACTCCCTCACGAAAGCACTTGCGTGCTTGTGTGGAGTGATTTGCTTGGTTACTTTGCATTTATTTTCACGTGCTATTTATAAATTCGGCTTTAATACTGACAGTGTCTTAATTACTACAAATCACAGCGTATTATATAATCGAAGTGAGTCATTCGATTTTCAGTTTTTTTGGCTCCGATTGGTCAGAAAGGGTTTGGCAAACAGGCTGACCTGTTTAGGTAAGTACAGAAGCCAGCACCATACCTATGAATATAACTATAAGAGACTGAACGGGACAGAGTCTTTGCTCCATTTTCTGACAAAGATTGCCAGCTTTGATACAGAGAAACGTATATGATTAAATAAATTTCACTTGTAGACATCAAATATCTTCTCTCTGCATTCCCAACTAAAAAGACTTGATGATTAAAAAAACATGAAACTTTTAAACCTACCGATGTCACTAATGGTTTAGTTTCATAATGGCTAATTTGCGCTGTGCTTGCTTTTCTTTTTCTGTTTAAACAAATATAAAACCATCGCGCATAATTCTCTCTGCCAGTACAACCATATGGTATCATGTATGCTGATAAAAAAATATCGACACTTTTCAAATGTGACAATATTCAGTAGAATATTAATAAAACGTGTCACAGCCTTGAAGTTTTAAGTTTAAAACATGGCCGTAGCGTTTGTTGTAAATATATAAAGTATACAATTACAAATCTTTACATTTACATTTACAGGTTGTCTCAAAAGAGAATTTACACGGTCTTTTTCGCCGCAAAAAAAAAACTAGGCGTCGCCGAACGCTCATTCTCTGCCCAAAGGTAGCGCTAGAGGTCACACCCAGATGCAAAAGTTTCAGCTAGATCCGATAACTTAATCAAAAGTTATAAGGGATTTTCTGAAAATTTCAATGGGAAAATGGCAGCCAACGGAGTTTTCGAACACATGGGGCTCTATGGCACCAGAAACCGAAAACGGGCGAAAATGAGCTCCATTTTTCCACTGAAATTTTCAGAAAATCACTTATAACTTTTGATTAAGTTATGAGATCGGGCTGAAGCTGTGGCATCTGGTTGTGACCTCTAACGCTACCTTTGGACGGAAAATGAGCGTTCGGCGATGCCTAGATTTGCTTTTTTTTTGTGGTGAAAAAGATCGTTTAGTTTTTCTTTTGTGACACCCTGTACTTGTTTTGCAATTGCTTTGTAATCGACTTTTTTTCTTTAGTTTGCAACTAGAATCATCTTCATGGTGTGAATTCTTACAAGAATCACAGAAGTCGGTTCTTGTCCAAAGGTGACCTGGAACCAAATATAGAGGGACAGGATTTTTAAATAACATTTTCAAATCCTGATGTTGTTTCTCCGTATACATTTAAAAACTGCACTGCCTTCCAAAACGTTCCTGCTAAATAAAGTTATATTTTTTGCTAAACGTACAAGTATATTGTCATAATATATCATTTTGAATGGTTATAAGTTTTTACATTCTTGAAAAACGAATTAGCAACACAGTGCTTTAATCCCATTCAAAAACAAACCCGTTTGACAATACCAAGCTATTACAGAATTAAAAGTATTTTCTTGTGAGGCGTCGCTCCAATGAGAAGTGGCTGAGTATTTTCTTTGAAAGCTTTAAATGAGTGAGTGAAATATATGTCGCTCAAATTATCGTTATTTGTTCTACGCCTCGGTTCTGTTTACTTTCGAAATTAAACGTGCGGAGCGTTCAAACAATTTTACGATTACGAAAAAGTTTTTTTACCAACAATTTAACAATGTATTCGTTTTCTTGAAGATCTTGAATACCCGATCAATATCATTTTCCAAGAACTGCTCTCAACTTTATCATCCTAGACGGTCGTGTAAGGCGTATGATTCAACGCGAAAATCTGGACCATGCTGAAGCTGTGACATTATAGCAACACATAAACAAAAGTCCTTAGTTTTGTAGGACATACTGAAAGTGTACTTAGCCACGTTGTCTTCTAAATCATTTAAATATAATCCCTTTCAAAGTTCTACATTGGCAACTTCAAATAATTACCTGCAGAAACAAATTTAAAAGTTTCTCTCAAGAAACAAAAAAAAAGTTCGAGATTTTACGCGTTCATTGCAGCTCTATACTATAAGTTACGTTAAGTCAGTCCAGTAAAATTAAAAATGTGTTAAATACATGTCTAAGGAATTTCCAACTCAATGTTTTTTCACCCATTCGCCCAGATGACGACGACGACTATAACCTTACATTTGTGGATTAAACTTTTTCCGAAATCTTCAGCGTCCTTTAAATAATTTATGGCCCACTGAAAAGGAGCAGAAAACAAGTACTTACGCTGGTAGCGTCCTCTCCTTGGCAAGGGTTCAGGCTACACTGTAAAATGTCAAGGAAAATATCCTAGAACGCCTTTCTTACCCCGCCAGCCTTGGAATCTCCTGTATATCCGCCATGCGTCAATTATTCTAGGGGCGGGTGCTTTAATTTACATGATATATCAGCGAGCGCCCCTGCGATATTTTTCCAATTTTGTTAAAACACGTGATGCTACCTTAAAGCTGTTAGTGGGAGGAATGTATTCATTTTGGGCACCATAGACGAAGGCGTTTGATCTGCACCTTTACTTTGATACAACAGAGTAATTTAAAAAAAACAATGTCGTCTGGAGCGCATTGTTTTTTCAACCCATCTAAACCACAAGGGAAGCCCTGAACAATCTCAAAAACTAAAAATTTGTATAGAGTATCATTTCCTCAAGAATATGAAATACTGTAATACATTTCCTTTATTTCTAACCTAAGAGATTAGTAAATTGACAAATTTTGGCAATCATTTTATTGAATTTATTTTGCTGTTTTTATGTGCACACCACCAAAACCATCATTAATAATAATACCAAGAAAAGTGTTCAGCTTTAAAGACCCGGAGGAAAAGGTATTAAAAACTATCCATTCTTACGTCTTTTTTAGCATTCTTTGGCACATTGACTTTCACGGGAGTTGAGCACTTTGCATTGGCAAGTGCGGGAACTTGGCAGAAGTTCTCGTTTTGGTGAGTGTCGCAGTAATGAGCAAGAGTTTCCAGACTTGTCTCTGCACCTAGGATTAAAACAGATGCATAAAAAATATCTGTGCCAAATTCACACGAATTTGCAGTTCATGGCCTAGCAGTTACTGGAGTAATTAATTTTATAAACTTTCTTAAACAGTTAAGTAATATCTATTTGATCAATTATCTTATTGGGAGACAAAATTTGCATTCAATGCTGTTGATAAACACTGCGCTCATAATTATCTTTCAAATTGCAATGAACAGCGCACGTTCTACACTCCACGAATATGTCGTTTCCTCGCACAGCGGCATTTTTTTAGGATCGAAGACATTGTCCACCCTATCAAACTTGATCTTAAGAAAGTTTTTCGTAGAAACAGTTTCTAATATTCATTCACAATATTTCCTGCCTTAAAATTTAAAATGGCAGGTGGCCTGTATCATTGTGGGTTCTTCAAAATCGTTTAATAAAAAACTTTCACAAATGTTTACTTCTAAAAATGGCAATCTTAATATAGATGCTCTATTCTCTTATGGCTTTTATCTTTCTTCTGCGTCTCTGGCAAATGTTTGATTGGTGTTAATAGTAGCATCACTTTTTTTGCATCTTTCGCTTTTCGGGCTCTCAAGAGGTTCGTTTTAGAACCCTAGCCAATTCTTATTTTATATCAACAACTTTACTATAAAGGATTCTAATTCAAAAAAAGAAAAATCAGATTTGGCGGCTTTACGTGCCACCCCAACGTAGGGCATCTGGCACGCCTCAGCGGACGACTGACGATTAATTTGGAACACATGGTGACCTTTCGTCTTGCAACCGAAATCTCGGTTACAGGGCGCATTATCCGCAATCAGCGTCCGTCCGATTGCGGGCACCTCGGCCGAGATTCGAACCCACCACCTGGTGATCTTTAAGTAGGCACTTTTCTCTCGTAAACACCAACATGCCTTTTTTTATTTCTGTCGGAGCCACCGACGCGGCGCTTCCAATTCTATCTGACGGATCGCTGCAATATTGCGTGATTTGTTGTGTAAGGATCATACATCAAAGCACCTCATACTCCAGTCTGTCATTAATGCCATTCGCCTATTAGGCTTAGCACAAACGAATGCAGGAATATGCGCGTAGAAATCTCTGCGAATCGTATTTTCACTTTCAGGTTTATCTAAAGCCTATGCGCCTAGAACGTGAGTGAGAGAAGGTGACGAGAGCGCGGGGACATCAGAAAGACGACCTTTCGTTTGAATTATAGGTGGGCGAGACCTTAAAGCTAGCAGCCTTTGTCTCCACTGAACTCCTCAGACGCGTTAAATCGCGGAACGCCGGCGTCAGCCGTTTGACTTTCCAATTCAAACGCTTTCGATGAGTGCAGTAGAGACGAAGGCAGGAAGGCAGCAAGCTTTAGGTCTTAGCCACTAATCCTTCCAACCAGAGCTCGGCATTCTGACGTCCCCTCAGGAACTCGTCTCCTTTTCTCCCTCCGTTTCTCCGCAGATTCCTTGCTCCAAATACCTAAATGTGCATGTAATATTATATCTCTCAGAAAAGAAAAACACATATTCAGTATATATTCACTGTTGCTAGCTGTATATTAGTTTATCTTAAACGCAAATTTGACTTAGTACTTCTTTCGATCGAATAAGTTTGTTCTCAGAAAGTTCTAGTTAACAGATAGTAGGACTGCATTAGTTCAGTCTGGGATCGCGCAAAGGTCATTAGCAGTACTGGGTTAAAACCGTTCCAAACAAATTAGCTCTTGTTCTCAGCAACCATCATGCACTGCTAGCGTAACTTCGGTGAAAAGTAGTTTATAGTAGTGAAAAGTACGGACTTTGCCACAGTATTAACGACTATTTTTCGTCTTTGTTTACATTAGAAAACGCCGACGTCCCGATATTACCAGCACTACCGTACAAGTCTATGGAACCTATTGAACTCTCATGTGCTGGAATAGAGAAACCCCCTGACAACTCGAAATTGACATACTTTGGAGGACTTTACGACATCACCCCCAAAATTCTTCACTACATAATATCTAGCGAATTTCTCTACTTAATATTTTCACTGGCCGTATCACGGAAATGCCTACCATCCGACTGGAAACTGCGTAAGGTCTTTCCGGTCTTTAAATATAGGGATCGTTTCTCGGCTTCGAATCACCGCCCTATATTTCTAACCTGCGTGGCCTGAAAACTTCTAGAGCATGTTATCTACTCAAACGTTCAATCTCATCTTGAGAAAAATAACTTCTTTTACAACAAGCAACACGGTTTTCGTAAGGGACTGTCTTGAAAGACGCAGCTCGTAGAATTCACCCACGAGTTATACACTAATTTCGAACCTAACCACCAAACCTCTGCCCTATTTTTGAACTATTCGAAGGCTTTCGACCGCTTAGCCCACTGTCGCATGCTTGCCAAACTTTCATGCCTCGGAAAGGAATTGACCCTCTCGTTTTCTAGTGGATCCAGGATTCCCCCTCTTCTCGCACTCAATCCACCACAATTAATAGTTTCTCATCCACCTGCGCTCTGGTTACCTTGGGAGTTCCCCAGGGCTCGGTTCTTGGTCCTTTACTTTTTCTGATCTTCATTAATGACATTCCAAACAAAATTTACTCTAAAATCCGCCATTTCGCTAATGACTGCGTCCTATATCGAAAGATAGTTTCTTTTGAAGACCATCTTTCACTTCACAGAAACCTTGACGGAATCCAGGCATGGTGCCCAATGTGGTTAATGGCACTAAACAAAGCAAAATGCAGGTTATTCCAGTTTTTACGAAAACGACAAAAATCTCAGTTCTCGTGTACAAATGAGAAAATAACGTAGTCGAAGACGTCCCGTCCTATAAATACCTCAGAGTGACTCTAACTAACGATCTTACTTGGAACGCTCGCATCAAGCTTATATGCGCTGAAGCGTCTCGCTGCCCTTGTTACATCAGACGGAACCTAAAATCGGCTCCCTATTCGTGCGAAAATGGGCTTATGGGACATGCGTTCGACCCAAATTGGAATATGCTGCGGCCATCTGGAGCCCTCACCAAATATACCTATTAAATCATCTCGAGGCAGTCCAGAAACACGCTGCCAGGTTTATTTTGAAGAAATATCATTGGTCAGTTGGTGTATCCGCCCTAAAAATTGAACTGGATCTTCCTTTACTAAACATCCGCCGTAAGATAGTGCGACTCTGTCTCTTTCACAAAATTTACTACAACCTCCCTGCGCTCCGAGAACCTCTCCTTCTACCCCCAGGCTATATTCATCGTGGCTAAATAACCAGTGTCACGTGTCCCGCCATCACAGGCAACACAACCTATTTTAAATTCTCCTTCTTCTCTCGTGCTATTGTAGACTAGAACGATATCCTTATTGTAACGCAGACGGATCCCACCGCATTTCGCAAAGCTCTTCGTTCTCAATTATGTTAATCCCCAATGTGCTGTTCTATTTGTTTGCCTTGTGCTTTCTGGTTCTCATGTATCAATTTTTCATCCCTTATGCTCCCCATGTACTAAGAGTAATTTGTGTATTGCCGTTGATCGTGGCGATGCCACGTTGTTTTGCAGCACCCCATGTATTCGCATATGTCGTTGTTACTGTTTTATGCTCTCGTGTTATGTACCCGCCTCTCTGTAATGCCCTCAACGAGGGCCTTTCTGAGAACTTGAATAAATAAATAAATAATCAATTAATTAATAAGAAAAAGAAGGAAGGATAAGAAAAGGAAGGAAGGATAAAAATACATATTTTACCAGATATATTTATGAGGTTAGTAAAAATGTCAGCAATCAAAGGTTCGAGGTTGCTGAATAGATATCCATTGTAGCCAAGACTTGTCAATCCATTAATGGTGCACTGCAAAAAACAAATTAATGGTAGAGTGGCATATGCATCTACTTGAGATATATTTATGATGCACACAACTACCGCAAGTTTATTTTTAATATAATTAAAATTTAACTGTTCATTTAGTATCTCAAATCCTAGGCTTATGTTAAGAAATCAAAAGTACTGCTACTATGAGCATTACTTAAAACAAGTGATAAAACACAAAAAAGAGTAATTTAATTCTATGTGCCACTGATATAGGAACTAGCCAAAAAGATTGCCATTTGAAGCCGGTCAATGTCAAAGCTTGAGGTGACAGCACCAATATAAGCTGCATATTTATAGTAAATTCCCTTCCCTTTATACTTATAGTAAATTTCCTTTCCTTTATAACAACTGTTTCCTTTTTCTCTTCGAGAACGTTGAAACCTTTGGAGGGAGGTTTTATCGTTGTGCCATTCTATGATGTTGGTAAATGAAAGATGTCCTGTTCCCGTCCTCGCTGTTTTATACTTTCATGTTTTGTAAAAAAAAAAAAAAAAAAAAAAAAACATTATTTTTCCGGTTTTTACGAGAAGGATCTACGATGACAATGAGATTAATGCAAAGGTGCAAGGGAGCGGGACAAGAATGACAATAATATTCTTTGCAGGGGGAGGGTGGGGGAGGAAAACAAAAATTAAGCACAAATCTCTAAACACAGCGAGGTGACTAGTCCGGAACGAAAAGAATCCGCTTGCTCCTGGCATCGAACCAGCGCTCCTTCGGAAATGGAGAGGCCCTGGTTCGATACCTGGACCAGGTGGATGTTTTCAGTCGCGCACCAGTCACCTAGCTGTGTTTGAAGATGTACGTTTGTCCCTTGTCCCCCTTGCCCCCCCCCCCCCCCTCTCAAGAAAGTTTCGTCATTCTTGTCCCGCTCGCTTGCACCTTTGCATTAATCGCAATATCATCGTAACCCTAAAATGCAGGCCGTTCATCCTTTTTGGTGTTAGACTAGTGGCAGCTGTTAAAACCCGTTTGTTTTACTGACGTCTAACTTCGGGTTAGCTCAGTTGGTAGAAAATCGGAAAGGTCTCTGGTTTGATACCAGGAGCAGGTGGATATTTTCAAGCGCGCACAAGTCGCCTATTTTTGTTAGGAGATTTGTGTTTGTCCTTTGACCCCCTTGTTCTCCTACTCCGGGGATTGTTAACCTCAAAAATCTACGGTTTGCTATTTCATTAAATCATCACTAAAACAAACCAAGCCGTCGTCAATACATAGGTATCCCTAAAAAAGTACAGTCCATTTTAAATACTTGCGTAACACTTACTGAAAGCTTAACATCTACGTGTGTTTGTAAATTCATATGTTTCGGATATGCATGAACCCGCGGTGATCACTCACATCAACGAGCTTGTTCATATTTTGGAGTTCCTGGAAAAATAACACCCTGTTACTTTAACACCCTCCTTAGATTTTCTTGGTAAATATATATAGTTTTCTAGAATATATCAAATTATACGAACCCACTAAAGCTGAATGTACAGTCGTGGATGATATAAAGAAGAGCAGCGCGTGGTTTAGAAGGCCTACCGCGCTACCTATCAGGAGAAAGCTGAATCATTATCGAGGGCTTCCGCGGCTATTCAACATTTGTCGTCACCCTCTGCTTGATCAGCTGTTGCTGCAATAATTCCGTTCTTAGTGCCGAATTTAGACGCGCTCTCTGACAACCGACAAGATCAGGCGAGGCTTAAACATCCGGCTCGGCAGGCTGAGCGATCAGCTTTCGGGCGTTACATAATAAGTTCGCAAACTAAAAGACGATAAACGTTTTTTTATTTGTTTTTTTTAATTTCAATTCAGTGAGTACCATTACTATCGGTGTTCATTCGGCAATTGATTGCCGATAAAGAGGAGAGTAAAGATAAATATCGATATGCAAAAAATATCGATAAATGCCAATCATTTACAAAATAGCCTTGATGTATTGCTCAGCTTTCTTCCGTTAGATAATACACAAAGTTTTCGGAGTAATGCAGTCGCCTGTGCTTTTTCATCTCGTCAGCGACTGTACTTTCAACATAAAGTTGGCATTAGTAGAAAAAACGCTGTAGCATTTTTAAAGCCCCCCCCCCCCTCAAAAATGTCGGTCCTAACATTAAAACGCAGAGGCACGTGCTGCGGAATGACGCTGTGCCCAAAGAAGCGAAATGAACCAGGAGAGCGTGGGGCCTAGCGTATACAGTTACTTTAGAGATTCCTGGACTAACTAAATGGCAAAGCCATATGATTACCCTAGTGTTAAAAAACTGTATATGGTAGCCGTATGCGCTAGAGTAACTATATATGTTCTTTAAGCTGAAGCTAAATCTCTAGTGAGGCCACGCGCTCCGCTGGTCTATGTCCTTTCGTTGAGCAGTGTATGTGCCGCTTTCATCTCAGTTTTTGCGTGAGTGAGTTGGTCGTGAAAAGAGACACTCACCAGGGATGTGCCAAAATCTTCACAATGTATGTCAAGAGAAAGGAGCCTACTCAAAAAGAAATAGGCGAAGCAAAACAGCGACTTTCTGAGAATGGCCGCAGTCGACGTGTCAAAGAGACGCCGGAGTACCAAACGCGAAGTCTGGCTAGGAATAGAGAAGCAAGACGGGCTTGTTCTGTTGCAAGGAAGGTCGTATGGTTGCAAATATTTAATTATATCTTCTTTTTTAATATTTTCGATAATAGTCTCTCTGATCATTGAATCAACTCAATTAATGTCCAGTACATGATCAAGTTGTAGAGTTTTAATTCTTTTAAGTTGGGTGCATAAATTAATTTATTATTTTAAGTGCGCCGTTCAATGTTATTTTATCGTGCCACGGTTGCAGTACTGGAGAGGTGAACGGAGCCTCGACATCGAGCTTTGGCCGCCCTTTGCTTTACCTTTTTAGACACCGTTGTCTAAATAAATATTCAATGATCCATTCACGAAAAAAAAAGCCGAGAAGAGATCGTAACATGCCGTTTCACACTTGAGACTGGAGTGGAGGAATAAAAAAGCGTTGAGTTTAAAAAAACAGACTCAGAAGGGAATGTCTTAGACTCAGCTATAGGTGGTTTATTTCGCAAGCATCCTACATATATCCACACCGCCACTCTCAACCACTTTCTACGCAGATATCTCCTTCGCTGAAATTATTTTCAAATACGAAGGACATACAGATTCACAAGAGACCAAACCGTCTAGCCTACAATACCATCATTGTTAACCACCTTCTACGCAAAAATCTGATGTGTTGAAAGCATTTTCAGAATCAGATAAGGAATACGTTGCATTTTAACCAACGAAATATAGCCTTCATATAAGACAAGCAACGCTGCTTCATTTCAATGCAGTTTGCCGCGAAACACATGAGACACAGAAGCTCGCTTTTTTTGTGTGCATTTGGTAAATTAAATACATTTTCTATTCTAAAAGAAGATACACTTTGCAAAGAATATTTTTGTGCGGTTTTAATTTATAATCATGATTTTAATTTTAAAATTGCTTCTCGTGAAAATGTCTAAATGAATTTCTGAGCCTACGACGAAACGGGTCTTTTTCGCTGTATCTGATATTTGATTATAAAAAATTGCGATGTTGCACTTCAGTACTCACAGTAAAATCGATGGATGAACAAAGATTTATATCTTTGCCTGCACACTAGAACAGCCGGAAAACAAAACAGATTAGGTAACGGCACCCCCCCCCCTTTGCACTTTATGTACCGGAACATATGTGGTGCATAAATAGACTAAGATTCTAGAGATACGAATAGTAGACTTTGACGTCTGAATACACGATTGTCGTTTCACTATGTTTGATCAAACTTGGCGGACATTTGGTAATATGATAATTGACACTTTATAATTACTACTCACCTAATGTGTGTAAAATAAGTTTTTTATTAATTCTTCTATTCCTGACGTCGCAGTGGCAGTTGTAAGTACGGTCAATGTTAGAGGTTCAATAAATTTAAACTAAGGTATCTCTTTTTGACGTATTAGTGGATTATAGCCTGATTCCGAAACTAAATGCCGGGAAGTGCACAGGCTCTGTCCATCATGGCTCCTAGAAGATCAGCGTGCTCGTTTGCCGGCTTCGGTCAGCTCGCCTTTACCTCGACAGCATGCCATTGACCGGTTTATCGAATTCCGGAGAAAAGTTCACCAGACATAAAGCTTAGCGGAGAAACGCTCAACGGCGAATAGCTCACCGGAGAATAGCTCACCGGAGAAAAGCTCACCGGAGAAAAGCTCATCAAAAAACCGGTGGATGCCGAGAAAACCTCACTGGCCATCGATCGAATGCGGAGAAAAGCAAGGAAGAGCAAACCGTTTTTATTTCTTCTTTTTTATGGTGAGGCTGCTGAATCATGCGTAACAATTTATTATCATTAAAATTTGTCAGCTTCGTAAAAAATGTTTTTGTAATATTTGTTAAAGTCTCAGGGCAACGAAGGCCTAAATTGAAACTTTATGAATTTGAAGAACAAAAAAAAACGTTCAAAATCTTAATTATCTCTGCCTAAAACCTAAAAAGCAATACTGCAGATGCCGAAAATTTGAACTCGCATGCGCAGAAACGCGGAGCCCAATTTGAAAAAAAAAAAAAAAAAAGTTCGAAAACGTAATAATGTTTGCCTTAAACCTAAAAACCAAAACTGTAAATGCCGAAAATCAGAACTTGTAAGCGCGAAAATGCAGTGCCCAAAATATCTTTGATGCTTTTGTTAACTTCTGAAAACAGGATAGAGCGATCAGTACGTTATGGAGGTTCCTTTCTTCCACGGCCATCGACGTTTTCCCGTTCGTGCTCGTTTCTGTAGACTGTTTTTTTGCGTCAGTGCTCTTCTACGGCGAACCCTCGATGACCTTCAGAGCTGCACACTGTCACCGTTCTTACTCGTTACCTTTATAAGAACTAGACTTTCGTGAGACAGCGAATTGGACGAGTTAGTTAACATTATACATGATGAAAACCGCTCAAGCAACTAAGACGGAGTGAAACCAACAAACACGGTAGGACGATGCTGCTCAACTAAAGTTTTATGAATCAAAATAACAGAAAGAAAACAGCGTAGCCCATACGCATTACATCAACGAGTATTTATCTATTAGACACCATACAATCTTCAGAGATGACACGGTTCACACACCCCTATGCATATTAGCTCGCAAAACAAAAACAAAAAAACCTCTGAATCTGACAGAGCTACCGACTCCGCACAGTCAAGCTGTCAATAAATTGTCTTTTTTACGGGTGTCCGATGTTTTGATTTTATACTTGCGGCGTCATTTATATACAAAATGGGTGATTACTAATTTCTGAGAAATTTGTAAATATGGCCAATAAACTTCTAGATTATGAAAAAGAAGAGGACAATCATTTTTAATGAGTTGGTGAATTCTGTTTGTGTTAAATTGTCAAGTGTGACAAATAATCCACTATGCTAAGAAAAAAAAATTTGTGTGCATTTTCTTCGCATCCCCTCGATGCCCGGTGAGCTTTTTTGGTAAGCTATTCTCCGCCGCCCGGTTTATCACAGTCACGCTGCCGAGATAACTGTGAGGTGTCAAAAACGAGCAGGTCACTCTTCTACGCAGCATTGTGGCTGCAGGAACCGAGGCGCTGCCCACAATGGCAACACCAGCAATGCGAAAACTGATCAATGAGTTTCTCAAGGTATATGTTGCCTATTCCCCCAGAATATTTTTTTTATAATTTATATTCCACTAAATACAACCTTAAAAAGCTCAATCGCATTGTCACACTTAACTACCCTACTAAAAGTTTTTGCAACAATTTAAGTTAATTTGGCGAACTTATTGTGACTACCCTCCCTTATCTAATGTCTTCCGAGTGCAAAACATTGATGACTTTATTTGTCCAACAGGCACCCTTTAGAAGTCTGAGTGTATAAAATACAATTTTTTTTGTAGAATAGCACAATTAAAAAGCTGTATAATTTTGATATTTGTGGAAATCAAACCATAAAGCTTGCAAAAAATATTCACGGTTTGTTTCGCGTGTACCAGAGACAGCTTTGCGGGAAGTTATCCCGGCGAAAATGTAAGTTACTGTTAACAGCACACACATGTGTTGGAAAAAAACAAAATTGATCTTTCAAATATAAAATTGTGTCGGTTGACTTTAAAAGCCGCCATACACTTTATGTTTATAGTTGCACGAAGTTTCAATGTCTTTATACACCTTTCCAGAAAAGACTCGACCCCAGGGGCAACAAACCTTTTTCGAGCCCAGTCACTGAGTTTGAGGCTAGTCTCTCACCGGCGTCCCTCCTAACCCTAACCGAGTGGACTGTGATTTCAATAGGTGCAGCCTGCGTTGGCGCAGTTTCAAAGGCTGCTGGCGGCTAAATTCTCGTCATTTCCCGCTATATTTTGTGTTTCATGGTACATGTATTTTCCCGAGGACATTAAGAAAGCATTGTGCCACATTTGAAAAAACAAAAAAGCAAAAAAAAAAAAAAACTGTAAACTATTTTTGTTGGGTACGCGCGCGACAGAACAAATGCGACTGGTAGTCATTTTTTTTCTTAGGATAACTTTTGACGGCGCCGCGGGATTTGCGGCATGTGAAACGACAAAGCGTTTTGCTGACAAAAATAAATTGCAAAAGAAGAGGGTCGAAAGGCGTGCATTTTTCACGCTCACAAATAACGTGTTTACCGATGGACAGGACACGGACATACAATTGAGGAAGTGTTAACATTCGAACAATATATCGTACGTACCACACGATGCAGCGTTATCCGAAAAGAATTTATCTAAAAAAGATCTCAAATCACACAGTCAAAGTCGACGACAGTCACATCTTGACGATCGGACGGAATCCGAGCTGACTTCGTTTTGGAGCACGTTTTGGGGAGAACTTTCTTTTTTCACAACCGCACCAAGGCAAAGAAACAAACGCGACTGACCCGTTTCTCACCCCAACCCGGACAACTATTTTTGGGGATGACTGAGGATTCTACGCGGATTATCTCTGGGAGGGGGGAGAACAATGTTCGCAAAATCGCGTCGAGGGTCGTTCGACGTCCTTCACCTCCTTCGCTTCCCGTGAATGTCGAGCAGAAAAGTTTGAATGGCAGGCACTTACCAGCCTTCTTTCTCACAATGGAAGATAACACAAAACGGGTAGGCAGCACGCATAAAAAAAATTAAGCGTAAACTTTCAAAAGGGGTGAGAAAACGTCGAATACAAAACCGCAAAAATGTAGGCAGAGAACCGCGCTGAGCGGGTCTTCACAGTCCCAGAGAGTGGCAGAAAATTTCTAGCTGATAGAGGGCGCGAGAGTCGCACCAGCCGCATCAGCATCAGCAACATGGCGCCGGCCTAGGAGCGTTTTTTGGAAAGGTGTATAGCAGACATCATGAAGTTTTAGCGACAGTTCAAACGGGATTGAAGTACAGTTTTAACGTGGGTCGCGCACTTATTACTCCCAAGGCGTATGTATTTCCGATGATCAGATTTATAGCAGAAATGTATAAACCATAGGAAGTGAATGACGACGCAAAAAAAAAAAAGGAATGTGCAGTCAAAACTTCCGGCCGATAGACTTCACATGTTTTGAGCATGTAAGTCAAATTGTTTTTTGCTCCCAAATTATTTGTTTTCAAAGTACAATCGACAATACTTCATACCTGTCAGTAAGGACTCCCAATGCGGTGAGACAGACGATGATATAAGCGTGCACTCTATAAACTCTAGTACTTTTTGTTAATAAAGCATAACGATTTTAATCTGTGCTAGTCTCAATAGAAAAGGAAATAAGATTAAGCTAAACACTTTTTTTCTCTATAATAAACTATGGGTGGTAAACGAATTTTGGCTGAAAAGAAACGAAACAGAAGTTACAATTAAAAGCACACTATTACGTTATCTAAATACCTTGGTGGTTTGTTTGCTACACAAGCATATTACCACTGGCATACACCAATGTATTCGAAATTGAGCTTTATCACGTGGGTACGTATAACGCGCAACAAAACTGTAAACAACGCAGCGCTGCCATTAAATAGCTCCCCTTCAGAAGTTGGAAAAATAAGCCGTATATGAGTCCTTCAAAAGTTTAGTTGGCTGGACGGGTAGTCTGATTCATTAGCGCAACGCCTGGTTTTCGTCTCTGTTGCAACGTAGAACTGAGGCAACTTCTTTATCTTTATTTATTTAATACAAAAAAAAACTTATATTACGTTTCCTGGAGAGTTCTGTCGAACATCCAGAAAAAGCTGGTCAAGCACAAGTGAGAAAGACGAAGCTGGTAACCTCAGGGATGAAACTGCTGCGTCAATTGCACCATTGTGCGCCTTATGACTGTTCACGCGCCACACTGGTACAAAAATATAAGTAAGACCGAAATTGTGACAAGGTGCGCCAAAACTGAAATTATCAACAAGCCTCTCTGAAATTTGCCCTCTCGCAGTTTCCGTTAGCAATATTGACACCAGAACTTCCGGACCAAAGAAGACGCGCAGGTGGATTTGAACCCGAATCAGAGGCTCTGTATCCGACGGCTGTTGCCGCCAACGTTAGCCGCGGTTGGTGCACGCTTTTCTGGAGCCCTGGAGTCACTTCTTCTGAATAGTTGAGCAAACAGCGCCGCCATATTGCGATAAAAATTAAATAAATTTCAGATGGCTCTGCTCTCTCTTGGTTGTACTTCCGTGACTATTGAAGCCCGCAGCCCCCGTTGGCCCGCCCCGCAGCCCCGTGCAGAACGCTTGGTAACAAAGGCGAGCGAGCAGCGTTGTGTATGACGAAGCAAGGTACGAACTGTAAACTTTGTTCCTGTGTGTTTATGATTTTTTATGAACAGTCGGTTCCATGGCATGTCACACTGTGATGCAGTTTTGCTTTATTTTTTTAGTAATTGGCACGTAATATTCTAACAAATGTTTCAAAAGGAATCCTTATTGAAACTAATGTTCAATTCATATAAAGTTATCTGCATGCCCTATTTTTTTTTGTTTTGAAAACCAGGTAACATTTAGCCTTTATTTTAACGTGATTAAAACTTTTAGGTTTTTCCTAGCTTGCTTCACTATCTCGCTTTTGCTACTCCCAGCCGGCTCCAAACTGCAGTTTATTCTGCTCCCAAGACCTCTCCAAAGCTGCTTTGCCCAGTTCCATTCTTGCGAGGCTGCTCACGTGCACGCTGGGCATAGCGCTCAATTTTCTTCTTTTTCAAATATATTTTAACGTTTTGTTTTATGTTAAGCAGAAGGCATCAAGTCTTTGTGAAGTTGCTGCCGTTCCTCGGTCGTCAAAATCAAAGTTCAATAAAAGCAAATAAAAAAGCAATTTAAGGTGTTTCGTTTTGTCTAAGCTTTTCGTCGAGCATGTAACTAGCAAACTCGAAATAAAGTAAAAATGCTTGCTTCGAAAATCCCATATGACGTTGGAAAATCAAGCTTGGAGCATCTCTCTGAAAGGCAAAAAGAAAATAGAGTGTTACTGCACATACCGCGCTCAGTGGCATAATAAATATAAACTTTCTGCCGGCTGCATTTTTCTCGAAAAACAAGAAATGATGTCATAGAGTCCACATGCACCACACATCATAGTTCAACACATTTCTTCTTTTTGTGTCTTTTTATGTGTTTGTAATCACGCACGCCGCTTCTGTCATGCATCTTTTGTTGAAAAGCGTTGTGTGTGTAAATATAGACAATGTCACATTATTTCCCTCCACATGTAACCAAAGTAATGGGAACTGGTAAAGAAAATAACGACTTTCTTCCGGTCGTGCCTCTCTCTACAGATTTTTCTAGGATTCTGGGTTAGACTTTGAAACCATATTTCCGAGAATTGACAGTTTGAACTACTCTATATAAAAGTACGCAATTTAGGCCTCTTCTAGGAAATATCTAGGCACCCCTGATTATATTTAGGCCTTTGTAACATAACTAGTGATGTGTAAACTTGTCTCTTAGCCTGAGGAACAATCTTGAGTTTGTGTCTACATTTTTTTTTTAATTTATTCACAATATACTGCAGGTCATTTGCAGGCCCGAGCACGGTGGGAGAATATAGAGTGAACTGTAGTCAATTTAAAACCATTGGCGTTTATAACGCAAGAAAATAAACCAAAGTATAAAGTAGCATATTTAGAGAAGTGATTAACGCCATAACCACTTGCGCCATAACCACTGCGGAACCAGAATACTAGTAAAATAAAGACACCATGGGTAACTCTTGGTGCCACACGGCAAGACCCGTCTAGTTGATAACTTACAACGGACTCTATACAGTAACTGAACTTGAGAATAAAATCTTAAACCCATAAATTCAGTTTTTATTTTTTTAAGGACGAAGTTTTTGGGCAACATTTCCTATTCAGGTTTAAGTAGCTCAATGTGCACCAAGCCTTTTTGATAATTAATAAAAGCATAATATTAACAGCGCAACCTCAACAATGCCGTGTTTTTTGCTGAATTCACTTTCCACATACTAATTAATAATGCACGTGACTTTCAGCGTTAATAGCTATTTGCCTACAATTTTCAAATAGCAGCCTAATTTATCTTAGCCTCACCTGCCGACGCAAGCTGAAGGGAGGCGGAGAAGATGCAAGCTGTGGCAGAAAGCAGGAGCGCTGTAGACGACACCATGCCGCTAGAGTACACTTCAATGCTTCGTAACAGGGTTATATGAGAATTAACTAGAGTTAATTTACAGTCTACTTGACTGCATGCAGGATTCGAGTCAGACTAAATAAACGCTGTTCAGGCAAGATATCAAACTCCGGAGCTTTACTAGCGTGTTATCGTTCGACAGTTTTTCGCACAGCTGCACTGGCAGTTTAGGCTGTTGAAAGCCGCGAAAACGGAAGAAAACGGGCGACTCACCTCCTACCAGCCCCCACCCCCCTCACCCTTCCTCAAACCCGAAAGAAAACAAAAACAAAAGCCAAGCACTAAAGAGAGTTTTGCGGCCGTTTGCACCTGTTGCTGCGGGGGACCCGATGGCCTTGGCACAGGCACTGGCAGGAAATGCGTATTTATTTATTTAATTAGTTATTTGAATACCTACAACGCCTGAAAAGGCATTACAGTAGAGGGTCCCACAAAACAGTATACGTTATCAAAAATTAAAACAAATATAAAATGTCGTTATACACAAAAAAAAAACGCAACAAATCTTAGAGACACCTGAATATGAGATTTAAACAAAAAACTGGACTTTGTCAAAAAATGGCTCTGGCTTTGAAATTTCTCAAACCTCGTAGGTAATTTATCCAAGACATCAATCGACCGCGGAAAAAAATAACATTTAGAAACATCAGCTCTACATTTGTATGGACGAATTGTTTTGAATATTTTTTTTTCTGAGAGACAATTAAGCAGGTTGCAGGAGATTTGTTGCTATAGAGATTCAAGTATTTTTGTGAAAAATGTTAAATAAAAGTCTCAAACGGAGTTACTGACGTCTCTGGCTCAGAGGCCTCCAACCCAGAGACGACTTAAGTTCAGTAACACTTACTCTGAAACCATAACTTTCCGTAACAAACCACCAGCGGGATTCTGAATTTTTTCAATCTAATCATTCCAATTTAGCCTATAGGGGTTCCAGATTGAACACTCATGTTCAAGAATTGATCGGAATACAAGGTTTTCTTTAGGGATGATGAAGCCACCCTAAAATTACGTTTAATGAAACCTAGTAACCGACTAGCTTTTGTGGTGTTAGTCAACATGCTTGTTCCTGTTCAAAGCTGATGAAAAAATAACTCCTAGATCTTTAACCTAGGTTAAACGTTTAACCGGCGACGCACTAATAGAGTATGAGGCAAACAGAATGAATTTTCCAAGTAAACCGGATGTGAATACATTTCGATAGATTTAAAAAGATGCTCCATTTAATCTTACACAAATTCTCTTTCCCCTCTGTTCGGTCAATATCATTGTCATCGACGCCGTTTTTCCTCACGCCAGAGGAGAGGCCCTTTATTCCTACCGGTTTTTGCCCGAAAACCCGGCGCAAATGACGATGAGCAGTGCTCTATGCTTCCGTCCCCGGTCAAGTGGTTAACGGACGTCCACACACTTTTCATTCACACGGTGTGAGACGGGCGTAATGTTGATACTGTCGATTACATCCATGATTTTATAACCGTTCATGTTTTTTGCTTTGATGAAACGGTTGTTGATGTACGGCGGTACCAACATCGAATATAATTAATCGCCACAAAAAGGCGCGTATGATTAGGAAGTGCTAGAGAATGGTTTTTGCAACTCCGATCGAACTCTTCGTCCGAGAGGAGCCGAAAATTACGTGCCACGCGTGCATCAGTTTTATCAGTTCAACTTCGATTTAAAAAATCACCTCTGCTCGCAAAAGGTGACCAAAGACGTGTAAATATACAGCCCAGGCACCACACCGTATGTCGCCGATATTGGATATATTCGAAAAGGTTGTGCCCACACCATTTTGGTTTAGCCAATATTTAACGAATGGGATGAGTCGCGCCAACCATATCCTGACATGACATATGCGACGCCGTTTTTAGTTGAGTGTTGAGAGTATCCTGCGTGAATCGGCTATGCCGGAGAGGTATTTCTATTTATTTGCCGCCTAAAATACGACGTTAAAAATAAAAAAAAATTAGCCAAAACGGAATCTGCTTGCTTTTAGCCCGAGAAGTCTTTCTCGGGCAAAAAGCGAGCAAATTCCGTTTTGCTTAAGCTTTTTATTCATTTTCTTTTTAACTGCGCTGAAGCTTGGAACAAACAGTGGCGCCTTTTTTTGGGTAGCACAAGCTCACCTGACTGAACCAATAAATACACTTATAAAACACATAAAGAAAAAAAAGGAAAGAGAAAGAAGAAATTCAAACGCATAAACAAGACGACAATCGACGAGTTCTACCCAGAAAGCATAAGCCACTCCCCGGCTCCACACTTTTCGAAAGGGAACCGCCACTCGAACAACAACAACTTCAAGGTCCCACATACAAGGCGACCCTCCCTGTGCAGCCCAGGAGGCAGCAGAGGGAGATTAGCAGCTTTGTCCACCCCCCTTTGACCTCTTCTTCTGATAAGCCTCCCCACTTTCTTTTGTGTCCGTGTGGCTGTGAACGAGTGCGAAAGCCGCTTCTAGCGAATCGGAGGTGTGGAGCGAAACACGTGACCGCTCTCCGTAGGACAAAAACGCTTGGACGAACATTTGTCACGCGACTCGCTCTGACACGCTGATGGCTTACTGGAGTCATAGCCTTCGCCGTTTGCCAGTTTATGGTGAGTTGTGGGGACCACGTAAATCCGGTTTCCAAAAAGCGTCCGTCAGTGTTCTCTTTTCCGTGCAAGCAGGTCCTGACGAGTTTCATTTCGCGACCGTGGTTTTTCGTCGTGAACGGCCAGAATACATCTATGCAAATTTTTTCATCTATTGGCCATTTATTTCGTCGGGGTCTATGGAATTATTGTGCTGTGTTTGTTGGACGAGTTTCGGCAAAGAGCTGCTCATCGGCGGAGGCGAGGCTTCCGTTGAATGTGATCGACCGCCTTCATCCTCGACATTGTGTTTGCGGTGTTTCGTGCTACCCGAATCGGATTGTGCATCTATTACGACAGAGAGCTGCTCATCGGTGACCGCGAGGCTTCCGTTGAATGTGAGTGACCGCCTTCATCCCCGGCATTGTGTTTGCGAATTGTTCTGTGCTGCCCGAATCGGATTATGAATCTATCACGGATTACATGAGATCGCTCTCTTATTTGTAAGTACTTTGCAAGCATACTTAAAAACATGAACTGCCACTTGTGTCCCAAGTGACTTCCGGTCGTTCCGTTTTTCCAAGCCTGTCGAGTTTTGCTTACGTCACCAGTGCTAGAAAGAATAAATGTCGCAAGCAGGGTTCTCCCCAGGAATTTCTGAGAGGTGGACATTACCGGGGGGGGGGGGGGGGGGGAGGGGGGTTAGAAAGTAACACCCCTTTTGAGGGTGTTAGACATTAATCACACCCCTTTATAGGGTGCTAGAAATCACACCCATGACTAAGGGTGTTAGAAACATCACACCTTTATTCTAGGGTGACAATATCACACCCCTTTTTTAAGCTGTCCGAAAATCACACCCTTTCTTAAGGTGCTAAGGCTTACACCCATTTCCTTGGGTGTTCTGTTACACGAATAAGGGTGCTCCCCATAGGACAAGCCATTTGCACCAATAAGGGTGTTAAAACTTTAAGTGTGTGGGTGCCATCTGGGCTGAGTTCGGTTCTGTTTTACGATGCCGAGTGCCAAACAGCAATCAGCGTGGTTCTGTATTTCTGCGGGTCTGCAACATAGCAGCAATATCGCGATGGCAGTGTTGTGCGTTGTGAACAGAATATGCCGATGTGACCGTGTGTTCGTGTATCAGTGTTGTAAAATCAAAATGATATGACGTAAGCTTTCGGGCATTCATACCGCCGGTTGGTCCGTGACTGAGAGGGTTGGGTGTCGCAGGTTGACATTCCACGTTACATTAAAGAGATTAAGACATCTTGAGGAATTACGGTGCAATCGATCGACCTGCGGATAGTCATGTTCTTACGCTGGTCTGAACCATAGCTTCTATCGTACAGTGGCCATCGTGAGTGCCGTCTGCGATGTCTTGTTTCCAGCTGGAGAGCGATTCTGCTGTGGGCAAAGGACTTAACAGTATAGAAATATGTCGTAAATTACGTAAATTTACTGGTTGGAATTTTAACATTAAAAGAGGATGGTAAGTAAAATCGACAGAAAGCTTTTTTTTATTTTGCTGTTTAAGTATACTACGGTTCCAGGATGACCTGCCCTCCATGTGGCGCGCAAGGATGAGCCCTAGAAGTTTTCGACCTCACCACGGCGTAGCTCCGTGCACTTGACACCTGAAAAGCACAATACACTTTCGGAGATGGTGACGCAAACAAAATCGCGACCGCATTCGTGAGAATACGATCCTGTAGTATGGTGCGTGGAACACGACTTCGACTGGTGTCTTTACCGCGTCCAAAATTGTGGTCCCTCGATTTCCGCTTGATGGCGTCACAGAAGTGTCACGCTTCCGCTGGTCGCGATTTTGGTGGTGTCGCAGCAGCGGTGCTGGATGTAACAGATGCCTGTCCGGCTGAAGGTCGCTCTCCAGACTTGCGGTCCTCGGAAGCCTTGGCAGTCAGAGGCTGGGACGCCAGGACGACAACGACACCCGCCTTTGCCCGTAAATTTCGTTAGCATTTCTACGAACAACCACCAGGATTGCGACACGAGACAGCGTGTCAATTGGGTTTCTGTAATGTCCCTTATTAAGCGAAAGCCTTATATGTCTCATCGTTCAGGTGACCTTCAAAATCCTTGAGCGAAAACCCGTCGGCAAACGAAAGGTACCAAACCGTTCACGTTTACACCACAGCCTCCTTAAAGGGACCATGAAATGATTTTAAAATCTAATTTCATCCACCGTACGTCGTAAAAGGTGTGAAAAGAAACACAAAAACACAAAACTAGGGAGCCAAAAAAATTATTTGCTATAGAACTTTTAAAAGAAAACTGGACTCTTTTGCGACTTCTTTCCTTCGAAAGCTCTGCCTTTTCACTACGATGCATCCGCAGAAATGGAACACGTCAGCCGAATCCACGTCGCCTATTGGGTA